AAACTCACATTGTATCACGAAGAACAATGTCAAGCTTGGAGTTATCCTTCCCTTGTGTTTTAATCTGCTCCATTGGTCCAATATTGACAATTTGCCCAATAACATCTGCAAAATATTGAAGCACGTATTATATATTTTGAAAATATTAGAAATCGTACCAAAAGATATGTTAACTTACCAACAAAGATGTTTCGGTCTAGGTTTCCGGATAATATATCTTGAAAGTCTGAAAAGTATTTTTCTGGATAATACTCGAGAAAATCATCAGATAGTTTCACCTTAGTTGTTCTGAAGAATGTTATCTTATAAGGATGAGGATTGGTTCTAAATTCCCTAACATAGTCCTTCAACTGGAAAGCATTGATGGTCACTGCTTGACCTTCTGTCAGAACATTTAGGTGTTTCTTCATCAAGTCTTTTTTAACTTGAGCATGAATCCTTGTCCCCTATAAGTACATAAAAATAATTAGAAGAACTTTCAAGATGTCATGAACGAAAATACTTAACATCTTAGAACAAACCTCTTCATCGATTAACACCATCTCATAAGTCTTGTAGGTATTCCAGAGGACCAGAACCTTGACTTTGATTTTTTGTGTTTCATCAGCAGGATAATTTTTTTTGAGAAGAACGAATGTATTTTTTTTTGAGATAGAGTCAACATTGCAATAAGTTTTCAAAAACTTGAGTAACTTTTGATTTGTAGTTAATTAGAAAACTATGGATCATATATATATAACAAAATAGGTCAAAACGAATAAGAAGCACAATCTTGCTTTCTTTTGTGTTTATCTATTAATGTGATATATACATATATACAATAAGATAAATTTACGTTTTTTGTATAAAATTTTTGGTATATTTAACAAAATCTTGATTCATATCTAATGCATCATATATATAAAAAAAATATGTAATATTTACGTTATCAAAATATGTCAAATTTCTATAGTTATATTTTCCTAAATTTACGTATTTTGTATAAAAATTTTAGTATATTTAACAAAATCTTGCTTCATATCTAATGCATCATATATATATAAAAAATATGTAATATTTACGTTATCAAAATATGTCAAATTTGTATAGTTATATTTTCCTTTTGTGTTTATCTATTAATATGATATATACATATATACAATATGTAAAATTTCTGTTATAACAAAATGTCAAATATTCGTGAGGATCAAATCTTTTGTGTTAGTCTATTAATGAGATATATATGTATTGTATATTCTTGTTTTTATATTGATTCATATCCAATATATACAATATGTAAAATTTATGTTATAACAAAATGTCAAATTTTCGTGAGAATCAAATCTTAATAAATATATCTCATTAATAAATATACATAAAAGATTTGATTCTCACGAAAATTTGACATTTTGTTATAACAGAAATTTTACATATTGTATATATTGGATTGTTTTTATCTTGATTCACATCCAATGCTTTATGTGAAATTTACATTTTAACAAAATATTATTTTTATATTAACATATATTATATTGAATTTTTGTTCATGCATAGTTTAACAATTTTTGGTTTATTTCAGTCTCTGCTTTTGTTTTCTTTTATAATAAGGAACTTGGTGAATTTGGAACATATCTAACTAATCGTTGATGGCACATATATGAAGTAAACGTAGCACTCGGTGGACTATTCGGATAATTCTGGGGGAAACTCATTAAACCATTAAAGAATCCTCCTTCACTGCACAAGCAAACAAATCAATATTCTCATTTCTCTTAATCTATTCAAAATAAATTCAATTATTCAACGTTCATCTAATCATCTATTGAGCACAAAATCATAAAATATTAAGCTATTCATTAGTTATCTATGGTCAGCTATTTTTGAGATATGTTTCTCATCTTCTTCGGTAAGGTTTAGTTTAAGTTTAAAGTCTTGATAATAGCACATAAAATTTCTTTAAATTCTTGATAATAGTACATGAAATTTCTTTGCGTGTAATGAATGTAAGGTAGAGAAAAGGCAGAAAGGGTCGTTTTTCCAGTATTGTGTCAAGCAATCGAAGTTTGATATGTTGTCTTTACCTAGGGAGATGGTAGTAATGTTAGTTTTTGATCAGTGTGTTATCAGCTTTTACATCAACTTTTTCTCTATCTTCAAAGAACCATTATTCTTGAAAGGAAAATTATGTGACAATACATTGAACAACAGTGTTATCTTGTGTACTTCCTAAATATTCTTCAATTCGTAAATAGCCTTTTATATTTTCTTTCGAAGATTACATAGAGTGATAGAGGCAAACTTGTTTCGTTATTTGTCTTCTTCTCTCTTCAGTCTTCCTCTGTTTTTTGCTTTTTCAAGTAAGTGGGTTACCATCATAGATTAGATGCAATTTCCAATAAAGGGATGAAATTGCTTTGTGTCAATCCTTTTATGTTTTCATATACTCTTCTAAACTTTCTTATTTAAGCAATCATCTATGTTCTTCACACCACTAATCAGTAGAGTGAGAGTATCGAAAAAAAAGAGATCAAAATGGGTTCCAAAAGCTCTGTGAAGAATTACCAAAGCGATGACAGTGATGCCCACTACACCGTCTCTCAGTACGACGTGGAGGTTGGAGACTCGAACGTAGATCGCAGACATTATTTTGGAAACATGGATCTCGGATATTTTGTTGCTCAACCACTACTGATGCTCGACGATCATGCAAAGTTAAAGGAACTTTGCTTACAGAATTTTAACATCGAAGGTTACTATATTGAAGGGTTATTACAATATTTTGTCAAGAAGGAAGAACACAAAGGTCTTCGTCGTTTACGTCTAGCAGCTCTTGGAAATAATAAAAACGGTATGTATGTTTATGGTTTGCTAATGCTTGTTCGAGGTCACTATTTCAAAGGCATAAAGTATTTGGATACACTGAAATGGTCCAAAAAAATGTCAACCTCTGATAAATGCTGGGAAAGTCTGAAGATCTCACTCCAAAAAATCGATGTTTATATACCACAAGACTACTATATAAACATGGTTAACCTTGCCCCACGATCAAATTTTGATCGTTATGACATGAATGAGTTTTGCAAGGAGTGTTACTACTTCAAAAGGGCATACCAGTTTGTCAAAAATTACACTGATATTCTCTGAAAAACTCATGTGTTGTATTCACAGTTTGTACGATGTCATCTACTTTAAGGTCTGCTCAGTTGTTTTTTCTAAGTTACGTGTGATAGTAATGTCGTGTGCTTGTTTTCTTATGGAAGGTCATGAATGTAATGGTATGTTTGTGTTTTAATAAACTTTGTAAAATATTGCTATGTATGAAACGTTTTGTACAGTCTCTTCCAGCTTTAATATATGCATGAATCAATGTTGTGTAATTTTGTGTAAGTTACACATGTTTTTGAAGAGATAAAACATCGATCATAATATCATAAAAACACCTTTAAGTAAGTGTTTCGAAAGCAGAGTTCTCTGTTTTTTATAATCCGACAACTTCTCAAATTTGTTTTCATGCTTCTTTAAGATTCCTTTAAGTGGTTCATGGGTTCCATGCTTATTTCGAAAGGATTTATTTGTTTTCATGCTTCTTTAAGTTAATCAACAAACCGGATCAACTTCTCATCCAGAGGTTTTAAGATTCTTATTGTTACTTGTAGCAACTACTAATATTATCTCTTTCACAGAGTTGGAAACAAACCATTCTTGACGATCTTAGACTGCTACAAACTCGTTTTAGCACAAGTTTAGCAAAATCTTAATAAAATAGAAATCACCATTAACATGATGTGTAACATGATCTTAATAAAATAGAAATCACCATTAACATGATGTGTAACATGATCTTAATAAAATAGAAATCACCATTAACATGATCTTTAGTAAACAAAACAAAAGAGAATTATATCTTATGTATGAAGAAGCTTCTATTAGTACGCATCATTGATTCAATCTCCAACTTAGCTAAACTCTTAATTTGATCTTCTGAGTAACTAAAACATGTGAGGTAAAAAACAATCAAATATGATAAGCATTGAGATTAGAAATCTCTAATTATTTTTTTTTGGATACAAACAATCTTACATGGATCTTCTGAGGTATTGTTTATATCTTTAGATAGAATTTTCCAAGTAGCATTCCATATGTTTTCTGGAGTTATATTGCTATTTGAAAGTAATGTTGTACAAAAGAGTTTTCGAAGACACTTTGCTGAAGACCAATAACTTGCTTCTTTAATAGCTTCTATATATTCTTCATCATCATTCATGTGAACCTGAAAGAATTATAAACCAAATTCGACTAATGTTAATGAAGATGATTACGTACTTATACAATGTTAATGAACATACACGCAAAAGAAAGATATTTACGTACTTGTTCTTCTACTAATTTGGTCGGCTGCATGTTTTGTAGAAGAAGATGTGCTAGGTTTTGTTCTATGAATCGCTATGAACCTTATATATATATATCGTTTTAATATTAAAAAGTTAATCAGCCATGTCATCTTTAAAGTTAATCAGCCATGTCATCTTTTTTCATGAGCCATGTCATATTTGCAAAGAGGCCATGTCATCATTCTTTTGTGAAAAGCTTTGTAGAGATGACACCTAAGCAAATTTTAAAAAATCAGTAGGCAAATAATATATAGGGGATAATGAAAAGGTTTTGCACATTGTCAAATTATTGGGACTGAAAAGATTAACTCGGTAATGAATTAAAATGTAGTTTCCAGGTCCAAGTTTGTGATCTCTCTCAAAATAAGATCATTAATTATCCCAAAGTAATGTTTTCCAATGTATTTTATTTGATGAAAGAAAAGAAACACTTATCTGTCACTGGACCTTTCGGCCTCAGACATGTAACAAAACAAGAGTGTGATTATAATGTCCGAATCAGAGAGGACCAGGGAAAGTTCCGGTCTCCCTCTGCTCATTCCACTTGTCAACCTGCAGGAAAGTTTAGCCAACGATCATGTATGATAGTCAAGTGGCAGAGCAAAGACAAAATAAAAAAGGTAACAATACTCATTCTCCAGGGCAGAGAGCACGGTAGTACTTGGCCAACCTCTCGCATTCATTGGATTCCTCACCCTTTGCAGTTGTGCATCTGCAGAGAAAATGTTGTTTTTAAGTTCTTGAAATGAATTAAAGATTCAACAAGAGTAAACTCAATGTAACCTGTGGAACTCAGTGTAACGGGTGAAGCAGTGTCTTGTTTGGTTCGTTGTAGGGAGCTGGAAATCAGCAGGAGCAGTTTTCAGTTCAATCTGATTCGATATAAATCACACAAAAACAACTAAGACACTGAACTGAACTACACTCTTTTACACATTGAAAACAAAACAAAACACACAAACAACAAAACATTGTCTTAACCATATTGAAACAAAACACGCAAGCAACAAAACCAAAGATGAAATCATTGTATTTGCCATATTGAAACAATACAAAACAAAACACGCAAGGAAGCAACAGAACCACGCATGCTGAGACAATTATTGGGCTGAAAAGTACTCTATTTTATTATACAATTCCCATGCAATCAGAGATATGTTTCTTTCTCATACATATATTAACAAACAGATTTTAGAATTCAAAGCTTCGCCCTTTCCCGTTAAGTTCATGATCTAAGTCTACTCTATTAAGACAAAACCACACACGCACCAAAATTACTTGTTTGAGAAACTGATCCAACATAGAATCATCAGTGCTGTTACACAATTATATTATATATCATGCTTTATATATGGTAATGCGTAATGAAAGTGAGTATATATGCATCTTAATAAAGTAAGTTGCATATCAAACGTAGTGCTCAATTAACAAAAGACAATATAAATATTAATGAATTAATGAAATATATATATAAGTTAAAGTCGGTTTAGTGGAACGATATGATTCGGTTAAACAAAAGATTATCTTGAATAATCAAGCTCTGAAAATTCAACGAACAGATGTTCTCGTATTGAGAGACAATGAGCTATCTCTCTCTGCTGATAGATACCATAAAATAGTCATATGACCTGACAGGACTATTCAAGGTTAACGAAAACATATAACAGAAGAACAATTTTTTATTCAGAAGGGACTTGAATGTTTTTTTTTTTAGTTCTCAGCTATGAAAACCAAAAACTGAAAGCAGGAGTAAATTTGTTAAAATAGGAGGGACGAGTCTTTGGTTCTGTGCTGCAACACAAACCATTCAAAAGTAGAAATGCCTTCCTCGACTTTCATGCCAACTATGGGTGATTGTTTACCTCAGTCTCATCCATGGAGCCGAACTTTTCTCCATTCCTATAGCCTCAAAGTTAATTACTTCAATGACAGAAAACTGCCTCTTCAGTTTGTGTCTTCAATTCTCATCAGATATCTCTTGTTCTATGGGTTTCTCTTCACCTACTGCCGAGTGTCCATTTTCAGGTGTTTCTTTACTTTCTTGTGCAATGACTTCTTCATCCTCTGCATCTTTCTTCTCGTTGTTGCTCTCTTCTTCACCACCACTCGTCTCCTCAAGGCTTTCAGTACCAGGTAACTCCTCTAAAGCCACTGGTGCAGGTATACTATGTCCATTCTGAGGCGGTGCGGACGGATATGTACCTGCTATCGGCGACAACGGGTAGCCATTCTGTGTTATTTCCGTCCCATTTGGTGATACCAGATAGCCGTTTGGTGACACTGGATATCCATTAGAAACCCATGGTTGACTCGGTATGAACTCAGCCGCATGAGGGTTCATTATTCTTGGGCCAATGAACAGATTAGCCTCGCCATTAGACTCAGTGCTAGTGGGGAAGATTGGCTTGTTACGAGGAACCCTGTTTCCAGATCGGTTGTAACCACCACCCGAGAGCCTAGGCCCATAGGGAACACGAGCTGTTACAGACTGATGAGGAATTGACCTGCGTACATGGTTTACAGGAAGCATCGGTGGGATATTCACTGGGGAGGGAAGGATTCCCCCATGGTCTTTGAATCCTGGAACTGTAATTGATCCAAAAATTGGAATGGTCGTCGGGGTATAGGGAGGTGCAGAAGCAGAGAGCTTCTTGCTCATCTCTTTTTGTGCCTCGCATGCTTCTTGCTTTTCTCCATCTGCAACTACTGATGATTTCGGGCTTGATTCTCCATTAAGGAGATGTTCAGTTTCACCATCTACTGCTTTCGTTTCAGCACCAGATGCATCTTTCTGTTGCTTCACTCCGATTACTGGTTCACTTCCATTTGAATCTTTTGCTGTTTGTACACTTTCAGATACTCCTTGACTTGCATCTGAAACCGCTGTCTCTGTTGGAGATCCTTTTTCTGCTGTCTTTTCAGCCTTGATATCCTCTGGCGAACTCATCAACTTTGATCCACCAATAGCAACCCCTTCTTGTTCGTTGCTATCAGCAAATTTCGCTTCTTTTCCTGTATCCACATGCTTATCTTCACTCTCATCCTCCTCAGCCTTAACTTTCTCAGGACCATCTATTTCAACTTCGACCGTGTCCAAAGTCTCTGGGGCAGTCGTTTCTTCTGTCAACTGCTCCGCAACTAATTTCACTATTGTTCCAGGGGGTGCCAGTGCAACCTCCTTATAGGAAAACAGTTTTCCAGCCTGGACAGTCACAGGACTCACTATAGGAGTTGGCTTGTTGATCTGTTCGGTGGCTGATTTATTGCTAACTGGCTTTTCTCCCGCTATATTGGAACTGTTTTGCTTTCTATTCAAACTAGGGCTCTTCAAAGCCTTCTTCGTGTGCTGGGAAGTAGAACCAGCAGCAGATATCGAAATCTCATTTGGACTAGTCCTAGGGGACGCGAAACTGGTGTGTTTTCCTCTGCTTTTTGATGTCTGCTGGTTCACGTTTGTGAAGCTTGTGTTCAGCTTTGCCAGGCTGGGACGGGTTCTACGCCCAGAAGGATAACGATTTTTCGGGACAGCTTCTTGCCATCCTTCGTCAGAGAAGTCATCCTCTTGGACCGTGGATTCTAGCTTAACCACCGTCAGCTGATCCTGAGGTTTCGTATCACGTTTATCAACTTTTGTTTCTTCAGATTTTGCTTCGGATTTATTCTCTTTATCACTTGAACTCTCTCCAGTGACAGGAGTCGGAGTCGGAATTTCATCATCTTTCTGAGTTTCTTCTGACACAGGTGCTGGACTTTGTCCTGGTCTTCCCTTGACCTGAATCAACATTTCGATCAAAATATCTGTCACACAACTTATTAGTGAGAGCAGTTCAGTAAAAACATGGATTAAGTCAGCGGAAAGCTAATATGACCTTCAGGCGAGCTTTTCTTTGGGCGTCCCTTGCCTTAAGATCGGTATCCGGGGCAATATAATCCAGCAGGTCTGATACACTATTATTAGAAAGAAAGCTCATGGGTTACTACTCAGGACAAGAGTTTACACAAGTAAAAATTTCAACAATGCTGGATCTTTGCTTCTAGTTGTATCTTTTGGCCCCCATGCACAAATTGTGAACACTGCTCAAATTATTATTGTGAACACTGCTCAAATTATTAAAATACCTGAGATGGCCTTTGCTGGAAATAGAGGCGTCTGGCTTGGGAGTACCATTTCGCGCAGCTTCTTGCTGTTCCAGAGCTTTAGACTCAAAATACTCAAGCCACGCAGCCGCATCCTAACATAGTTCTGGAGTGTAAGAAACTTTTAAACTGAAACTCCCTGTAAAACGTAACTAATTGAGCACCTGTGTCCGAAGATCCTCAAGGCCTAATTTTGCTTGTAGAATCTGTAGAGTGGTCTGCTCATGTTGCACGCTCAAGGAGTATGCTTCCATCAGCGAAAGAGCGATAGCAATGGCATGGTAGCTTGCTGCAGTCTGACACAAACGTAACAGAAGTAAATTCTTATTTCGCGTCAAATAGATTCCACCATAAAATTTACTAATTAAATTCGAGCCTTCATGGCATAAGAGTCACTGTCTTTAGACATTGACAGGTCAGGATTTAACTATTAACCTTTTATCCGGTCTGACTTTCAGTCAAATAATTACTTATATAACTATTTATTTAAGTTTATGGGCGTCAGTATGACAGAACGCATTAAATTGCAACCAATCAAGTCCTTGTTTAAGAAAACCAACCTGGATATGATCAGCTCCAAGTAGTCTCTTATTACATTTCAACGCTTCATGAAGGTATCTTAGAGCCACATGGACATTCCCCAAACCTTCTTCCATCATCGCTACATTAATATAAGTGGCAGCAGTATTTGGATGTGACGGTCCACATGTTAGATGCAGAAGGTACAATGCACGGTTAACATACCTACAACACGAATAATATGTTAGCAGAGTGGAAAATATAATTTTTAGGCTTTGGCTTTGGGAAATGTTGAGACATACTTCAAAGCTAACTCTGTATGTTGAAGACGATAATAGAAGACAGCCAGGTCGCCATAACTTTTCATTGTGTCTGGGTGATCAAGTCCAAGTTCCCTTTCATTTATGTCAAGTGCTTTCTGCTGATAAATGGTAGCCTGAAAATGAAAACTGGTTAGATGAACTGAGCGCTGCCTTGGTTACTGTCCCGATTTCTTTCAAAGTGTACCTGGTTAAAGTCCCCAGTATGGTACAACACAACAGCAAGAAGACTATATGCGCCTGCGGTCATTCTATGATATGGGCCACACACTGCTACAAGCTTCGTCAATGCCTATAGAGTCATCCCAGAATATCAATTATCTTAAAGAGTCCGAACAAAAATGAAGACATTCAATGAAAAAAGTGTCAGAAACAAGCTTGAGGGTTGATTCTTTCAGTGCAATCCTTGCCAAGGAAAAACAGAACTCGTTGATTCAATTCTTTCAGTCTGTGCTAGTTCTGAAAAAAGGTTTTGATAAGGATAAAAGAAGAGAAGAACAACGTTCAATTGCTTCCAGTTTGCTCAGAGAAGAAAGGTTATATAATGAGTGGCGGTAGAAGGAGGGCAGGGAAATAAGGGAGCAGCGTAGTCAGACTAGTCAAGAGCTTCATTACAAAATAGTATATAAAAGGAGTGATAAAGTTATCGTTATACCTTGGTACCATAACTGACAGCATCCTCCAGTTTGCCTTTGTCTAAGGAAGTTTTGGATGATTCCAATAAAGTGCGTCCATCGGCGGATGAACATGCTACGTGCTGCACACAAAGCAGAGCTCTTTAACCACTTAACTTTTTATGGCCTTTAACTAGACTAAGAGAGTTACGCATGGTACCTTATATACAGGAACCATACTGATTATATCTAACTTCTTAAATGGACTTGACGTGTCCATCTCATAATCCTTAGGAACAAGCTCCAATCCAACCTAAACCCGATGCGTGAAGCAACATACGAAAATCTACGATTAGATTGTCGCAATTGAAAGAAAATCTAATTGAGTGTCGCAAACCTTGTGTGACAGTCCTCTAAGAATGGCGAATTTTCTCAGTTCCTGGCAACCTTCATGCTTCCAGTCCCACCCAAACCTCTTGGACATGAACGTTTCAACCCAAGTCCATTTTATCTTCTCATCATATTCACTCTCAGTGTCAGACGGTGTTCCCAATAGAACATTTAAGCATGATGCTATTGAAATGGCCAAATCAGCAGTGTTTTCAACAGCTGCTACAACAGCCTGCAGTATATGCTTGTATGCCCGAACAATCATTTCATGAATACAAAGGGATTGCACATGAGGGAGCTTTTCAGCCAGCTCAACCTAAGATGAAAGGAGAAATGAGTTATTCCTAAAAGAAGTGGGGCACTTTGTTTGAGGCGAAGGAACCAAAGACTATGAAAAGAATGTTTACCACTCTCCCCAAGGAATACATTTGTAAGCCTCTGGTGTGCATAAAGTCTGTCAGAGTTCTCCCATCAACGGGTGAGAGTTCAAGAGATCCAAAGTCTGCCACCTGCAATGTATCAAGCCGAAGTTTATGAGGAGATGAGAATTATTAATAAAGAAGAAAATAAAAGTCCAATGAATTAACCAGTTTCGGAAGAGCGGTGTCAGTGTAGTATTTGCGGGCCATTTCAATCAGCTCCCTGGGTGACTGCATGGTAGGTTCAGGAGAGAGAGTAGACAAGGTAAGGTTGATAAAGAAAACTAGTTTAAATAGGTAATAAAAAGATGTATTATTCATAGCATACTACTAGCCTCGAATACTATATGTTATTAGCTGGGGAACAGACAAACCTTGAGATGAAATCCAGTTTCTGATTCTTTAAGACGCTGATATGCAGCTTCTGTCACCAGTTCTTTCCACATCTTTTCCATTTCCTCATTTTGTTTCTCAAGTTCCTTCTGATCCTCGGTTTCTGATTTATTGTCATTTTCAACCGTGTTAGCAAGAGAATCCTTGCCCTGTTCAGTCTTGTTAGCTTTCACATCAATCTTCCTTTTTATCTCCTTTAGCAGTGCACCTTGCTTTCCAAGACCCTTAACAGGTGGTTCAGGTTTAGCATCTTCAGTGTTCTTAGACTCACTTTTACTTGAAGCTTCATTTTGCAGATGTTGCACCCAACAGGCTCCTAATTCCCACCTTATAGGCTTGGTATTTCTTGAGGGTTCAGCCTCCAATTTTTGAATACTATCCTCAAATACTTTCCTCACAAGGGACTTAGCAACACGTATTTGTTCTGAGTCAGCATTCGGTGATCTCTGCGGTATTCCTGAAGGGGTAGACGACTTGTGCAATAGAGTTCTCAAGCTGAAAAGGATATTAAGGAAGGACTTGCTAAATACCTTCTATTGCAAAATCCACTTGTATGCCAAAAGATATGTTAAGCAGTGCAAAGATTTTACCTATTAACATTCAGTGCATTTGCACCTCCATCTGATTGGTCTTCGATGTCTATATCCTCTGGGATTTGGCCCCCTTCCAAGCTATATTCAGCAGCAACCTTTACAATGGCTGTGAAACCACATTGTCTGACAACCACCACACCCAAGGTAGACGTATCCTATATGATTGGAGTAAATCTCAGATACAAATCAAACAAGAGTATGGTAAAAAATTAGCCAAGCTATAATAAAATTACATGAACCGTCGCACTCTCATCAGCAGTGATCCCTTTAAGCAAATTCCTCTGTGCAAGTTCTTCCTGAGAGATCTCTAGAACCCGAGTCCCATCACTCTTTCTGTCAAGCTTGGCACTCGCATCAGGATCATCTCTAGTCACCCTTATGATCAAATCACCTACTCTTTCTTCATGGATAGCCAACGCAGCAGGATCCTTCGAAAAGCATTGATTACTCTCAACCAAATTCTTTATTATTTCCACTGCCTTGAAAACTGACACATCGACGAATAGGCTGTGTAGTAGAAAGGCCTTCCTATCTCGAACCTGTCTCTCTTCAGATGTTTTACAAGGCATCGCTGCCAAAACCGCAAAATCCATTGCCCACTTTCTTCCTTCATACAAACCATCCCGGCACGCCCCACCGCCGTCTCCTCCCCAGGTCCCATCCTCCACTGGAAGTGACGGAAAAGTAGAAGGGCAATCCGCAACAACCGGAGGAACGACCCAAGTGTTTGCCCGGAAACCATAAGGAAGGTTCGCAAACTGAAAATAGAACAAACAATCATCATATATTAAAAACCTCCTAATCACCATAACATAGGAAGTAGCTTTTACGTACTTTATTATGCTCAATGAAAGCTTTCATAAGAGCATCATAAGCCTGCAACCACAACAATCATTACAATACCAACGATCAGAAAACAAAACTGAAAAAAAAAATAATAATCAAAACTCACCGCATCAAATGGTCTGCTTATCTGTTGAAGCAGCTCAACCAAAGAATGACACAGAAGCTGCTGCTTCCCAGCTGGGAAAAAACCTTTTCTTGAAGCAACAACAGTGATAGGCTTTCCACTTGAAACTTTAACCTACATTTGATAACAATAGTGTAAACCAAAGTTTCTTAAGCCCCAAGTCAAAGCTTCTCTCCACTACATAAACAGTGAAGAAGAGTCCCTTACATCGATTTGGAACAAATCATCTACTCCTTTATCTTCAATCAAAGCACGAACAGACCTTCTGATATCTAAAAGAGTCAATCAATGGAAGTTAGCAAGCGAGAACAGCCTCAGAACTCGACGAATTAGAGAAGAGGATACGATACTCACATTGGATCGGTGGAGTGAGGTGGGAGAAGGAGATGAATTCGTAAAATTGACCAAGACGAATCGGTGGACACATGTTGATTTCGCCCTTATCCACTCCTTCCGCCGCCTGAGAAGCTTCGCAGCCTCCTCCGACGAGTTTCTTCTCCGATTCGTTAGGTTTAGGGCTGAGATTGGAGCCTGAATCACCGGCATCCTCGCTCGAACCTGGTTCCTTGGGAGATGAGCGAGTTACCGGCAATTTTGATGAACCGAAGGCGGTGGTGCACGCGACGATGTCGAGGAGCCGCCGTATGTTCGCGGTGGCTTGCTCCTCCGTATAATCCTCTGCGGTTTCAAAAAACTATATTAATCCTCTGTGGGTGATTCTACGCTAAGTTAATGGAATTGGAGAGATGTAGACCGTTGGATTAAGAAAGTTACCTTCGACGATGGTGAGGTGGCAGGGTTTGAGTGATACGATGTCAACGGAGTCTTTAAGTCTAGCGCCACGCACCTGCAGCAGAAAGAAACTATTTGATTTTTTAGGCGGTAACTATAAACGTACTATTTTGGGCCTACGGAGTACCTTACTGGGCCCATTAATAAAAATGTTTCATTTTTTTAAGTCAATTTTGAAAAAGGCAAGAAGATATGCAACGCCACATGAACCAAAATCATCATCGACAATTGTGTGACAAAAATCATAAATGAATGAAGACGAAACCTGGTGAGAGAGGGAGAAGTTGGTGAAGTGGCATGTCTGAACATGGACTGCTAAGAGCTTCCTCACATCTAAGATTCTGTCCGTAGAGATCCCCTTCACAACAACAGCATCATGCATCATCAACTTGTATTCATTGTCTTTTTTTTTCTTAATACAATCTCTTACATATTATGCTAGTATAGTATAAGCTAGTCAAACCTTGAGAGTCACTTGGGATTCGTCTGGTGTTTCAACACTTATCTCGATGACAATAGGCAAAACTGCATAATCACACAACTTTGTAAGTATTTTGTTAAAGAAAGAAAAAAGAGATAAGAAAGCAAAATTTGACTTGTCATTGTGAGAGAAGAAGGAACCAAAATGAATTACAACCTTTCTCTTCCTTCTTCTTCTTATCTCCTTTACTCTTGTGTGGTTTTGTTTTCCCAGCTTTAGGAGCCATTACCAATGGACATAAAACTTATAATTGAAGTTACAAAACCCGGAATGAATTACTTGTAGTTTCCAGATATGAATTAAGTGTGTATGAATAAGTAGAGATGAATGATAGAAGAAGATAGGAGAAGAGAGTAGGTGTGAGTGTGTGTGCACAAAAGTGACTTTGTGGTGGTAGTGACAATGAGGAGATGGGTCAAATAGTGATTTGAGAAAAAGATGATGGAGAGAATTAGAGAGGATAGGATAAGGTGGTGCGAGCGAGCTCTTCTATATTCCTCCTTAAGAATGTTTTGAGGCTAAGTAAATTTGAGGCCTCTCATTTCTTTAACGCCTCATCACTAACTTCATCTCAATAGCTATCTCTTTTTTTTTTGTCTTTAACCAATAATAGTATAACGATGCTTGCAGTGTATTTAACTGAGATTTTCACACAAGCCTTCATAAATTTGATTATCAATTTATTGTACATTTATCTAATCTTTGAATAAACTAGAGATAGAGATGGCAATTGGCTTTCCCGTCCCGTTCCGTCCCGTACCGCAGCGGATTCATCGTCGGATCACGGCGAGCTTGTCCCGCACGGGCTGCGGTCTTCCGAATAATTACTCAATTCCGTACCGCATAATTTATAAGCCTTCGCGGGACGTCTCCTTCAGCTTCCTTCATGAATGTTAAAGTAGAAGACTTGTGTAAAGAAGTTGAAGAGAGCTGAACAACATCGATCGCAACAACATCCAATGTGATCACTCGCTGGTTTAATGGTCTTGAAGTAAGTGAGAGCCATTTGGACAGTAAAATTTAACTATTTCAAGAATATTCCTTCTTTTATTGTTTGTAAAGCAACGTCTCTTCATAGCAACAATAACTTGATACTAATTGTTTCTTCTTCTCTTTCAACTAAGCTATTGAACTTATAGTGTAAAGACAAGATTATGCAGTAACTCAAACTCTCATTTCAAGCCGTTTAAAGAACAAACAATAGCTCTTCAACAAGCAGTAACTCTTTAACAACATCATTGTAACAAAATTTAATTTTTTTTAAAACACCACTTGACAATACTGAAAGCAAAATTCATCAACTTAAACAAAAAAATTCCATATAATAATAAGGAAATTTATAGTACTGAAAACAAAACCAAACAGAAATGGGTACTTATGGTTGCAGGTCTTCAAAATCCCGCGGGTTAACCTGTCCCGCATTTGACTCGGCCCGTTTTGAACCCGTCCCGCATTCGGCCCGTCCCATTTTGAGCCTATCCCGCGAGGCTCGCAATTCTGCGGGCTTATCAAATGAAAGCCCAATCCCGCCCCGCATCAAGCCTTTACGGGTCAGGTCCACGGTCCAGGTCTTTGATTGTCATCCCTAACTAGAGAGGGGCTGGCACGAAATAATTATGAGTCCACGTGTAAAAAATAAATATTGGTTTAGTTTGGGCCTTTTTAGGCCACAAGATTATCGATCTTGATCTTCTGAAATTCTCAAGGAAAAAGGTTCTCAACAAAAATTATAAAGTTCTTTTGTGTAATTTTTCTTGTTGTTAGGTTATGAACTAGGCCTGGACAAAAAAACCGGAATCGAAGAACCGAATCGGAACCAAACCAAAATCTCTGAAATCGAAACCGAACCGAAACCCACAAATATCTGAACGGTTCTTATATTTATATATCTGAAATAGTCAAACCGAACTAGAATCAAACTCAACGGATATCGAATATATAATAATATTAATTTTATATACATATAACATAAGTAAATATATGTTTTTAATTTTAAAATTTATTAAAATTATCCAAAAATAGTTGAAGATAACTAAATAATTATAGAGTATCCGAACTACGGATAATTTTTATCTGAAATATCCAAAATTTGTATCTAAATCGTTCTAATTATTTGATAATTTATCTTAAATAACCAATAATTTACTTGAATTACCTGAACTCGAACTGGAACCAAATGAGAACCGAATTTTCCAAGTGTTTTCTGGTTCCTAATTTTACTATCCGAACCGAACCTGAAACTATCCGAACCAAACCGAACCGAAAATATGTCAAATAGTAAATGGATCCTCTAACTCCCTACCCGAACTACCTGGAACCCCAAATACCCGAACCGAACTGAATCGATACCCGAAACGCCCAGGCCTATTATGAACAATAAATAAATAAAAAATCTTGGATTAACCTTATTTTGAATGTTGACCTCAAACTTGTTATTTTTTCTTTTTTTTGTTGGGTAAATCCAGTTTGCATTAGATATGTTTCTAGTATTTTGTTATTTTTTTTTCTCTAAAACCAAAAAAAATTATACAAAAGAAATAAAGTTTAATCTAATATGTTTGGTATGTAGTTAAACTCTCATAGTCGAATATATTTCATTGGTGTTTACGAAGATAAAGATAAAAAAAAAAAATCAGAGAAAATGAAAATGATTAAGAGCATAAAGAATATTTTATCAAAGTAGTTATTACATTTTATAGTACAAATATTAATAAGTACTGAAGAGGTTGCAACGTGGAGTTTGTTAGGACATTGAAAACTGTATGCTTCCCAAGGGTTAGCAATGCTGAGGAAATTTCTCAGAAGTTAAATTCGGCGCTGAATAAATCGAACTACCGTGATCCAATATCTATTTCTGCATAGGCAACATGGATCTTCTTCCTCCTTCCATCAAAAAAACTTTCTCTTCTAGGAGTTCTTCTTATCAAGCACATGTCAACTCCAATTAATTTTCTTAACTATTTTTGTTTTTTTACGTAGAAAAATTTAAACTATTTTGCATTTGTTTTATCATTATCTCTGATGTTGGAACTCTTACTATGGCTATGGTATTTCTTTTATTCTTGAAAAGAGTTTGATATGTCAATAACCATATGAGCTATTATCTCACTCATGTCTTATTATGTTTTGAAACAGGAGGATACTATATTTTGACAATTATCAGGTTGGGTACATAATCGAAATCCAAATCCAGCTAATTTAATGTTAATCTCTTGTGACAAATTTCTATCTTATATTCTTAGCAAATGGGAAACGGATCAACACAACGTTCTTCTAGCACATCTTCCAAATGTTTCAGACTCATTTGTGCTTCTCCGAAGACCACATAGTTGTGGACAAGTTTAGTGTAAGAATATTGTTGTATAAGCAGCTAAAAATAAGCCATATTTCTCTTTATTTTCCATCAATTGTATACAAATGCAACTCAAGGCACTGTAACAGTTGACACAATAAAAGCCATTATATTTTGAGAGCATGGTTTTTGATTTTCTCTAGTGTTTAAATGTTTAGTAAGAAACAATTATATTATAAGAGATTCAACCGCCATAGATAATCATTTTTCTTCTGTTCTCCATACTCGTGGTATTTGCTCACAACAATTTGAGTGAGGACCAAACAATTTCATATCTGTGTTGATTTTTGTTTCATGAACTTTCAGTTTATTCCTCTCCCGTATAGCTTTTCATCATATTAGTTGCATCTTTGATTTCTTCTTCTGTTTAATCCATCGGTCCAACTCCGATGTCTCTCATAATCGGCCACCAAGTATTGTGTGGTATATCTTTTCCAAAATTACTATCACAATGAACATGAAATGCCGAAATGCACCAGTGGATTACTAACCTAGGTCTTATACAAACCTTAGGAGACTTTGACATGTCTTAGTTTATACATTCAAATCTTTCACATGCATCTTCTGATTGTTTTTTTTTTCTTAAAAATGTGTGAACGTGGACCAGCCACAACATGTTGATCAAAAATTCAAAAAAACAAATACAATTATACGAAAAAGATCTTAAAAAGAAGAATATTTAAATTTCTATATTGTTACGTAAACGTGATTAGAAAGTTTTAATGAATTAAATTAATTTAAATTTAATCAGAATAAAAAATTATATTAAATAAAAAAAACTATAAATGTTTACTTTACTAAAAACTAATCAAACCAAAACTTAATGTAATGAAAATAGAATGTTTTTTGAACTTTAAATTAATTATTTAAGTTATAATGCCGGAAACCATCTAGTAACCCATGTACTAAAACGCGGCCGCACTGACCGATTAAGCGGCAGGGAAACACTGGGCGGAGGGTAAGTGAGGCGATTTCATGGGCCAATAACTCGGACTCGTAAAAAAATTCAATTTTGAGGTTTAAAACTAAAAATCGAGTATTACATGTTAAATCTATGAGTATTAAGCATAAATATCAAGAAAAACGCAAAATAAACGAATGAAATCGATGAAAAACAAGGTACGGCGGCTCTAACTCTGTTTGCGAAATCCTAAAGCAATTGGGGAGAAAATGATGAAATTAAAAATATGCCATTAATGACAAAAGACAAAAAAAAATAAAAAAAATTCTACCAATGTTGAACCGGCTATCAACTGGTTAAATTCTAGCTTTAGAACCACTTTCCCATAGCAAATATCATTGTACACGACGAAAATCATTCACTCATTTTATAATTTATGAGAAAATTAAACAATCATTAAAAATTGATCTCTGGTTAATCAGTGATTAATCTTCGCTTTTTCTATAACTCGCTGGATTCATATCGGCCGTCCGACTCACGCCTAGCGTTTTCGGAGTAAAATTATAAGAGGGAAGCGATAAAAACTTGTTGACAGAAAAATAGACATGGGCTTGCGGATAAGCAATTTATGCCAGATATTCTTTAAGACAAAACCTAAAATGGCCTATGAAGCATTGGGCTCAAATAAAATAGTGGTTTGTTCTGGCAGTATCAGGTCCATCGTATGTTTACTCTTCCTAACTTTCTGGATGTCTAAATCCGCGGGGGACACCAAATCCAAAGAAACAATGTGATTTCGGTTTTAAACATTATCTTCATATTTGCTTCCTTCAATAATCTTACAGAAAATAAATGGTCGTTGTTTCTTTGTTATGTCTCAAGTAAAGAGCCTAACTCCACCATTCGTTGATAATATGGACTCATCGAAATCGTTGAGTTTAGAAATGATTGGCAAGGTCTTGTTCTCCGCGCTCCAAAGGGTCATTGAACAAGACTTCTTCAGGTACATATTAAGTGACAGAAATCAAACAAAATGTAAGTAAAGTGCAGATACTCATGTGTATGTGTCTATATATATGCAAATTGAATTCGGTTATGAAATATTGTAACAGATTGGATGCACTCTTGGGCCAGATGCTCTACTAGATCTAGACCGGATGTCCATGCTAGAGGCCAGACGGACAACTAGAAC